GCTGGCGTACCGGTAGCCCTGCCCAGGCCCGGGAGACACCCCAGGCGTCTCTCCCCACAGCTGCGGGCTCCCGGGAGCCTGGCACCCGGCTTGCCAAGGGCTGCAGCACACATGCCCTGGGGATTCCCATCTCTTCCCAGCTCCATCTGTGGTTGCCCTTCACGGTAACTTGACGCCCATGTGTCCCGCTGATGCTAAGGCGTCGGAAGGAGCGGCGTTTTGTAGCACGCGTATCCCCTGACGCCACAGCTCAAGCCGTGCCAGGCAGTAGAAGCCAAGCTTCAAGCGATAAATTCCCCTAAGAGCATGAAAGATCATGGGGCACTTTTTAACGCTCTTTTCTGTCCATGAGCGTGCCAGTGTTCTTCAGAAACTCTCGGATCCACCGCTGATCGGAGACCTGTTTCAAATGGTGTGTCTTAGACTTCTTACATACCTGTGTTCCCTAGCCCGCTTGCTACAAGTACGGTGTGCCTGGATGTCCAAGGGACTACAATCCAGTCTGCGGGACAGATGGAGAGACCTACTCGAATGAGTGTGTGCTCTGCCTTTCAAACAGGTAGTTACTTAATTGACATCCTAATCTTCTCTTCCCTATATCCAAGCAAAATATTCACCCTGACATCCCAGTTAACTGACAGATTATTGGCTTTGGACCATTCGCGGTCTTTTAAGCTGCAGTTTTAGCAGTGTCCTCTCAACTATCAGTCCCTTGCAACAGCTTTTATCATGATACCTGTAAATGGCTTAGATGATTGGATTCAGTTAGCTGGGAGTACTGAATATTTGCTTTTGTAATTCTTAAGGAGGAGCATCTCAGAGGGGGTCACGTTCATGCAGTGTCACATTGCCATTACGTATAATGCCAGCCTCTTCCACACTCTCCATCAGAAAACATGAAATATCGCACACAAAATGCAGCTTTTACTACAAAAGGTTTACATTCAAGATCCAATCTCCTGTACTCCCTTTCACAGGGAAGAGTAAGAATGCCAAATGTTAAGAGAAAATACTATTTTGCCATTCAGGTTGTTTAAAAATCAAGAAAAAGATCTCCCAATATTTGAGAGAGGGTATTTTTTTAAACAAATTGAAAACAGACAATCAGTACTTAATGAGCATTGCTACCCCCCATTATGATTGATTGGAAGCCTCTATAGAGCATCCTCTGAGTACCAACTCGGAGGAACTGCTTATGAATTGAATTTGATGGTGAAAGGTATTTATATAAATGAAATAACAGAATTTCTGTTTCCAGCAGAGGGAAGAAGTGAGAGTAGCACAACAGCAGTGATGGGCATTTACAAAATTACAAATAGATAGATCTCAAGAAAGGGAAGGCTGAAATATGTTTCTGACTTTGGGGTGGGGGAAATATTAATTGTGATTAGATAATTTACAATTAAATATTAATTGTATATTATTAAAAATAAATTACAATTAAATATTAATTGTGACCAGATAATTTACAGAATTCAAATGACCGAGATAGAGGGAACATAAGGAAAGTGTCAGAGGTATGAAAGGGTACTTAAGGAAATAATATTTTAAAGAAAGTGCCCAAGTGTGTCAAAGTATGTTTAAAGATATGCAGATCTGCAGAATTTGGTAACATCTTCACCACAGTACATCACAAATTACCCAAGTAAATAACAAGTTGCAAAGGGAGTTGGTAAACCTACAATCTGGAAAAAACAAAACAAAACAAAACCCAACACAAAAACAACCAGGGAATCAAAGGGAACACAGTATAATCTGTGAAAAGGGGAGAAAAGAGGTGCTGATACATTGCATATTAGGAGCCTACCCATCTTTGCTGCCTAGAATGATGTTGGAGTAAGTTGTTAAGCGGTTGACTTGTAGACAGACAGAGGTAAAAAAGGGAGTAAGCAAAACTGATACAGATTTGTCAGAAAGCCAATCAAATCCATGAGATTTAGTTTTTTGGCAAGATAACTGGCCTAGCAGAGTAGGAAGAAACAGAAGTGTTCCTCCATGACATTAATAAGGCATTTTACATAGCTCCATTTGACATTCACATAAGCAGACAAATTGTTATTCAGCTGAAATTGTTACAGGATGAAGTCAGAGCAGCTTGAAATGCTGTGGTTTCAAAGCAGTAATCAGCATTTTACAGTCAAATTAGAAAGAGCTATTAAGTGGGATTTCCTTTAGGTGTGGTATATAATTCAATATTTTTGTAATAAATTGGATATCAGAAACAAGACAATAAAAATTTGCAAAATGGCATAAGATACAATGATCTGTGCAGGACAATATCAAAATTCCCAGGGAACTGGAGAAATGGACTGAAATCAGTATTATAAAAGTCAAAGGTAAGCGCTAAGTATCGCACATAGGGTGCAAATCCATGTCGTGGAGATACAGACAGGAGGTCTCAGGACCTAAACAGTGTATTTGATCCCTTCTCAGAGCAGAATGATGGGCTTTGAGATCTAGCCTTACATTTCTAGGATGTTTCATTTTTTTAGGCATGATCCCTCAGTTTCAGATGGCTGCATGGTAGATTCCTAAATACAGCGCTGCACATAGCAGAAAGCGTTCTATAGGCAAACCTGCTGTTTATTTCCACTCAGTTCTTTAAGTAATTCATGATGGGGTTTACATCTTATTAGTATGAGATGTAATGTACATGCTTTGTGTGAAACACGGGATTTAATCCAGTTACACACACAAGACAGATTTTTATCTTAACCATCTTTTTTTTCTGGCATCTGATCACAGGGTGATTAGATACTATTCTGATTTTTTTTCTTTATTCAGTAGTTGGTGTATTCAGTGGCTTTCTAGTTCAGTCTGGAGTTGTTCTAAAGTGTTTGACTTGGCATGAACACAACAAGGATAAAACACTTTTATTGGAAGAATTTCAGCTTTGAAAAATGGTTCATAGTCATAAGCAATGGTCATTTCATTTCAAGGAGTCTAAGGTACAGTCATCACACTCCTTACAAGGGGAGAACAAAGAAATCTTTCTGCCCTTCTTAAAAAGCTGCATGACCAGTGGTGGCTGGGATAAATAGTGTAAAGTGGCAGTGTAGAAACAGATATATGGGCATATCCCATAGTGAATCACAAAACAGTCAGTTCTAAATTAACTTAGCCGATTCTCAACAGCCAACTTGCAGGTCGCCTCCAGCCCGTGTTTAAGCCCATTAAAGGACGTTTTAAAGGGAGTTGTACTTCCCTGATGGCCAAGGCAGTACCGCCCATGGGCTCTTTTAGCCGTGCAAGACTGTGTGGGCACCTGGGGAGCCCCGTGTGCATCAAGAGTGCTGCAGGAGAGGTTGCTGTGGCTGATCCACAGTAACATGAGACACCTGCAGCAAAGGTGCAGGACAAACCCTGCTCATCCTTGGTTCTGTAGTGCAGCCCATTAACTGTAGACCAAATCTGGTCTTCCTCTCTGCCTTTTTTTTTTTAATTAAAGCTTAGATCTAATCCATTCTTAAGTGGGTGCTCAAATGCAAATCACAGATCTCTTCCACACTTGGTGTCCAGTAGCAGTGACAACAGCTGATCTTAATTTAAACCTAGTCTGGCAGCACCACAAACTCTTTGGAAACAGACCCAGCAGCCGGAGCTGTCTCTGCAGGGTTTAGTGTAAGGGCTGTCCTTCAGCCAGAACTTTTCCTTACATCTTTACATGTGTTTTACATCCCCTGGGCTTGATTTTTCCTTTCATATTCCTAATCTGTTCCACTGCCTTCTGGTTAAAAGATCCCTGATACAACTGTTAGTAGAGATTATCCCTGCTTTTGGATAATCATAAGCCTCTTGAATTTCATGAGGAGTAAAAACAGCTTGATCCTATTAAGATAGGAAAAGGAACCGAAGATCTAGGGCAGTTTGCATTCTATCACCTTCTTTTTGTGTCTGCACTTGCTTGGTAAAATGAGATTTGTAAATGGAGTGCCCTAAAGTACCATATATGGGACTTCCAAAAAAAAAATCTAATGTTCCTAAACTAAGGGAGACTTGGCTAAAATTTCCATAAAGAAGATTCCAATGTTCAGAGAACCACATGTTCAAATTTTAGTGAAGCCTGGGATGCAGAGATGCATCAGGTTGCACACCCTTCCCACTGAATTTCCATGTGAAAGGGGGAGATTTTGTAATCATTAGAACTGTTTCCTACTTCAGGGACTGTGAAGTTTGACTTGCATTAGTGCTTTGTAATGGACACTTCAGTCCTCAAGGCGAGATTTGTCATGTGTTTTGATACGTCTCAGATTGGCATGTGGCTTTGTCAGGTTTTTATAGGTAACAAAGCCCAATGCGAGGCTGTCTGGTATGCTGCTTGCTCTGTGTGTGTGATTCATAAGTCTTTGCATCACAATTACTTTGCAGCAATGTTTGCCGTACGTGATGCAATTAAATGCATCGCTGCATTTAATTGAACACATAGAAAGACATGGGGGAGTCCGCTTTATAAAATGTCTGTCAAATTCAAGTGTAATGCTTCTCTTCTAAAATATTTTTCTTCTGCTTGCAGTGAAAATAGAAAGGATGTCCAAATTTTCAAGATGGGAAGATGCTGATATGGCAGATGGCCACTTTTCAAGCAAGTGAGGGGGACACAGACAATCCAAATGGAAACAATGCCTTAAATGTACCTTCTATGTAGCCTGTCTTAATAAATGAGCTTGCCTGTTTAAACGAAGTGCTGTTACTGTATTAAAACCAGTGTTTATAAACATAGCCATAGTACACTTATAACCTGAACCCCCATTTATTTTCTCATGCAAGATAGATCATAGGGTAAGAAAGAGATGTCCTGACCGTATACTGGGAAGTCAGTTGTTTGGAGAAGGAAACGAACGGGTACCCAGTGCCATTTCCACAGCAGCACCTGGGAGCAAGGAGGCCCTAGCACCTCTGCCGCAGGCACTGCTGGCAGCAGCCACGGCTCCTTGTTTCTGGGAGGATCTGAGCCTGCAGGTGCCAACGACCCCCAAGGAGCCACTGGAGGGGTTTCCTGTGCCAGCTACCGAACTGGTGATGGCGGCCTGACATGTACCAAGCCTCTTCCCTAAGCTCCCTACCTGCAGGTCCTGCTGGTGCAGGGCAGCGATCTGGGCACCCTCTGCTCCTGCTGCAAGTAACGGCAGTTTCGGAGCGCTGGAGGTGTGGGCAGGGGACATGTGCTGCCCCCCAGGCCCCAAGCCCTGTGGGCTCTGATCCCTGGGGCGTTGGTGTCACCACCCTGGGCTGGTACCCAAGAGCTACATCAAACACCAAAGGAAAATCGGAAAACTCAAGACTCGTGTAAAAGGGCACACTCCGGAGGGGGACGGTCAGAGGGAGGGTGTGCGAGCGCTGGGGTTCTGTCCTTTCCTTCACTCACTTGTCGTGCACATGGGCAAATAGCCTTTCTCACGTTTGTTCCCTTCTGTTCTGCTAAACACCTCTGTTTTCTGCATGTTGCTTGAAATGAATTTCATTTGGGTTGTCTTATGGTACGTTGATAATATACGGATGGCTTCTACCTTTTGATCCAAGCCAGGTGGCACCTGCCCTAGCCGCAGACAATGGCTTCGTCAGGCTTTGCTGGGTAGCAGCAGTGCAGGCAGAGATGTACGGCACACTTCATGCCTGATGAACATTTCCAGGTCAGTGACTTTGGTTTTGAAAAACAATAATGCTTTTGTTCTATAGTTCCTTTAGAGGATTGAAGCTATCCTTATCTTCTAGCATGTGCCTGCTTTCATTTCTTTAATTCAAAGACTAGTCGTTGATCGAGGGATGTCATGTATGGCATAACTGGAGACCTGGAAGCTTAGGATAAAGCTGTCATGTGGAGACATGAGTATGTGGTTGGAAAAGAAAGACGACCAGTGCCTCCTGACAAGGTATCAATTATGGATGGAAAATCAATTTCTCTATTGGTGGCAAATCCATTTGAGAAAGTTCCTGTGTGCTCCCAGCTGTTGTTTCCACGCCCAGATCTGGATAATTTCACTTTTTCAAATTGCACCAAATGCAGAAGCAGTTGTGTGCTATGCTATGAACTAACAAGTGGATGGAAACAGTAAGCTGTTTTCTTTTTGTATTTCTACACTAATTGTATGTGTGAGGGAACTTTAACAACTCCAGTCTTGTTAGTTGTAGAAATGTTGCTTCATCATTTGACAGAAGTGTGCATAGCATTGCAATTTTTTTTTGCAAAAGTCAGAAAAAATACCTGGTTTTGTAAACACCACTAAATGAAACAAATCCAAATAAAAAATAGCACGTAGGCTGACAATTACAATCACACTAGAGCACTGGTCCCAGCATATGAATGCTTAAGATATAACCTTAAAGCTGACTTTAAGTCATCCTATTTTTCTGCGTATTTGAAAAGTGGTGAATTCAGCACTGCATGTAATTACTCACCAAATCTGCTCCCAATGTCTGTACTTCATTTTCTGTACATTAAAAGGTTCTGGTAATTCCCACAGGTAAATTTTGACAGCAAGATTTGTGAAGAAGTGCAGATGTATGTCATGGATCCTACTCCTTTCTTGTCTTACCCAAGACAAGATACTTCTCATTCAGTAGACATCTACAGAGAAGGTGGGTGGAATGGCTCCTGTGCTTGAGAATGCCTAGAACACATTAGAGTCTTCGGAGGTGAACGCCACTTTGCAGTAACTTCTGCACTACTGTCTGTGAAAACTAAGAAGGAGAAGGATTACTATGTAGGAGCAGAAGTTTCCTTATCATGGTCTGAAATAATCTTGATAGGCATTTGATATATTTTTAAGTAATGTTTCAACATTTCTTATAGTGTATTTTGTTATGAAGTTACATTCTTGCTTTATGTAGAGCTTCTCGCTATGCTTTGTGTTTTAAACAGTTCTGAAAGTTTGTTGCAACTGCTACAGTTATGTTGCCCAACTTTCCTTTTCTTCTCTCTTGGTGCATTTTAAATTGTGATTTA